GTGTTTTTTAAAATTAATTAAGATGTCACCTTGTAGATTAACTCAGAAAAATCAAAATTCGTTTATAATCTGGGTGCCTCAAGAAGGGACTAGACTGTGATGCTGGCGGATATATGAGACAGAGCAACCTGTGGGAATCAGCTTCTGCTCACCTGGAACTTGGAGCTGACTCCTGAGCATTACGCCACAAGCAGGAATGTTTTCAAAGCATGCTAGGTTTGCTATGTAAGCATAAGCTTTAAAATTAATATACTATCTAATATCCATTGAGAACTTGCTATTTGTCAGGCATTATTCTAAACGTATTCTTATATCATTTTATTTACAATTTTTTTATTGAGGTAACAATGGTTTATAACATTACATAAATTTCAGGTGTACATCATTGTATTTCAGTTTCTATATAGACTGCATCATGTTCACCACCCAAAGACTAATTACCATCCATCACCATACACACGGCCCGTGTCACCTCTTTCACCCTCCTCCCTCCTCGATTCCCCCCTGGTAACCACCAATCTAATCTCTGTATCTATGTGTTTGCTTATTGTTGTTGTTTCTATCTTCTACTTATGAGTGAGATCATACAGTATTTGACTTTCTCCATCTGACTTATTTCACTTAGCATAATACCCACAAGGCCCATCCATGTTGTCTCAAATGGCAAGATTTCATGTTTTTTTATAGATGAGTAGTATTTCATTGTGCATATATACCACATCTTCTTTATCCATTCAACCAGGATGGGCACTTAGGTTGTTTCCAAGTCTTGGCTGTTGTGAATAATGCCACAATGAACATAGGAGTGCATGTATCTGTACTCATTCATGTTTGTTGGATAAATACCCAGCAGTAGAAAAGCTGGATTATACGGGAGTTCTATTCTTAATTTTTTGAGGAATCTCCATACTGTTTTCTATAGTGGCTGCTCCAACTTGCATTCCCACCATCAGAGTATGAGAGTTCCTTTTTCCCCACGTCCTCTCCGACACATTTTTTCCCTGTCTTGGTAATTATAGGCCTTCTGATGTGCGTGAGGTGATATCTCATTGTAGTTTTTATTTGCATTTCCCTAATAATCAACGATGGTGAACATCTTTTCATGTGCCTTTTGGCCATCTGCATATCTTCTTTAGAAAAATGTCTATTCAGATCTTTCACCCATTTTTTAATTGAGTCGTTTGTTTCCTGTTGTTGAGATGTGTGAGTTCTTTAAAAATTTTGGATATTAACTCCTTATCAGATACATGATTTTCAAATATACGCTCCTAATTGTTAGGTTGTCTTCTCATTTCGTTGATGATTATCTTTGCTGCACAGGAGATTTTGAGTTTGTTGTAGACCTATTTGTTTATTTTTTGTTTTGCTTCCCTTACCTCGTCAGACACTATATTTGAAAATATGCTTCTAAGATCCACGTCAACAAGAGTACTGCTTATGTTTTCTTCTGGGACTTTTATAGTTTCAGGTCTCACATTTAAGTTTTTAGTCCAGTTTCAGTTAATTTTTGTGTATGGTGTAAGATAACGGTCTACTTTCATTCTTTTACATGTGGCTGTCCAGTTTTACCAACACAGTTTATTGAAGAGACTTTCCTTTCTCCGTTGTATGTTCTTGTCTCCCTTGTCGAAAATTAGCTGTTCATAGATGTGAGGGTTCGTTTCTGGGCTCTCGATTCTGTTCCATTGATCAGTGAGTCTGTTTTTCTGCCAGTACCATGTTGTTTTGATTACTATAGCTTTGTAGTATATTTTGATACCAGGGAGAGTGATACCTCCAGCTTTGTTCATTTTCTTTTAGGTTTTGCTTTGGCTATTCAGGGTCTTTTGTTGTTCTACATAAATTTTAGGACTCTTTGTTCTATTTATGTGAAAAATGTGGCTGGAACTTTGACAGGGATTGCACTGCATCTGTAGATGTCTTGACGTAGCCGTTATGATAAATCTCCATTTGAAAAATGAGGATAGTGTCAATGAGAAGTGACTCATTCAAAGACACAGAGCCAGTACATGTGACAACACAGATAAGTAACAGGTGTTCATTAAAGAGAATCAGAGGAAAATGAGGTATAAAAAATGACAATAAAAGACAGTCAGTATTTATTTTTACTTTGAAATTTTCTTTTTATATTTACAGATAGAAATAGGATTGCTTAGTTACACATATGTGCATATATCTACATGTACATATACAATTTTTAATGAGGTTTGCATATGTGGCTTTATTTGCCTGCTTTTGGTTATTATGAGAAATATTCAGGTCTTTAAGTAATCTATGTGAATATTATTTTTAATGATCAATGACACCTTCCTATGGCACCTAACCCCATCTGACACTGGCTGAGTTATTTAAGCTTCTTGTGCCTCGCTTTCCACATGTGTACCTCGCCTACATATATATCTTTTAGGGGTATTAAGAGTCTTGAATTATTAGATTTCATGAAGGTAATGCACACAATGCTCAGATATTAGTACCTGGTGCATCATGAGTCTTCAATAATGTTATGAAGTCTTTTTATTACTATGATTATCAAATGAGAAAATTACATTGTTAAATATTTTTTACAGTAAAACTATAGTACCCAATATAGGAAAATATGTAAAGTTCATCAAAGCACATGGAAGAAATAAAACCATGTGTTCCTTCGGGATTATCCGTTGCTAAAATTTTAAACAATTCCCTTCCCCCTTTTTTAAAATTTTCCTATCAATATAAGCATTTATATTTTAATAGGTTATTATATACTAATGAATTTTTCTTTCTATGTATTGTGAATATTTTTACATTTTAGTAATAAATCCACAGAACACTGTTTTCAATGTCTGAATCGTATTCTATCCTTTGCATGCAGAATACATCAGGTGTCTCTTTCCCTGTTAGTCATCGTTTAGTCTGATACATAAAAAGCTGCCAGAGTGTTTTCCTCTGAGCACAGGTGTCTCACTGTGGACATGCATTACTGCTCTGTGAGGCCCTTCTGAGTCCAGATGTGACAGCCATGTAGGGAGGGTAGCAGAGGTATATTGACAAGCTTGTCTGTGCCCTCCTGTCTGGACAGGGCTCATGTTCTCAGATTATTTGCGTTTCTCTCAGGTCTCGCTCTGCGCCCGAGATTCTATTAAAAGTCTCGGTAACTAGTAAGTTCCTATACGGGTTCGAGAAAACAACTGTCGCCAGGAATTACAGGGACAGAGGCAATCAAAGGAGCTTGCGAGCGTCAGAGGAGAAAGGTGGACAGACTGACTCTATGTCTCCCTTTCCTGTGACTCTCCTTCCTTTCTTTCAATGACCTCCTTGAAGTGAGAAATAGAATCAGGGTCCTTAGAGGAGGGGATGATGGGGATGAGTATGTTGCCACGACCTTGGAAATTACTGAACAAATGAGGGAATATGTGTGACACAGATGCAAGGGAATATTCTTCCATGAGGTACTCACGATGAGCTGTATGAGAAGGATGCATGGATTAAAAGGTAATCTTCATTTATTTCACAATTATTTCAGAGGTGGCATCATAAACAATAGAATGTTTATTATTTTATATTTTGGAAAGTAAATATTGCTAATTTATTGGCATTTCACGTATTCTGTGAAGACTCTTAATTACTCAAATTCTGGTCCCATTATTTAGTACAAAATGATAAATTGTGACAGTGAATGTTCCAGAAAGTTTAGGTTTCTTTTATCCATGGGGGAGGAACAATGCATAGCACTTTTTTCTCTCCTCAATGATCAAAAAGACAGGCTCTGGAGCTCGGTTACCTGGGTCCAACCCATTTCTGCTGTGTGACTTCAACACGTTCCTCAGACTCACAGTATGTCACTCTCCTCACAGGTTACGTGGGCTTCATGATAACAGAAGCGACCTCAGAGGTCACTATGAGGGTTAAAGGAGCTCATATGCACAAAGAGTTGGGAACACTAGCAGAGAACTCGCTCACAGGCAAAATTGTTAGCTGTTCTTCTCTTGGTCCATTCTCTCCCTTCTTTCACAGACGGAACCAAGGGTTATTCACAATATGGTGGGCTCACCTAATGGCCCCAGCAACTCAGAATTCTATTCTGATGACATGATGCTGGCACTGCCTGAATCTGAAGTCAGGAACCGTCTTCCTCCTCCCTCAGAAAAAGGACACTTGCTCCGTCCCAAATTTACCTCAAGTATTCTGTATATTGTAGAATTATGATCTTTCAATTTTCAGGGTGGCATCATGGCCCATTTACAAAAGCCTGGACTCCTTGCGTTTGACCAAACATTTTGACTCTCTGAGCCGTAATTTCTTTATCTACAAAATGGGCAAGTAATAGTTATATTGCAGGGGTGTTGTGATAATTATATGTGGCAATATATATGTACTGTATCTAGGAGTGCTGGTGCACAATGATTCTCTCCATGAGCCTGAGTCTTTCACTGTCATTTCTCTCACTTAAGTGAACTGGAGCTGGGTTTTTTACTGAGGTGATAGATGTGGGACATGCCACAATTAGGTTTGGTTTCTGCCCATACCAGTTTATAACTGTATTTTCAGTGTCTGCTGTGGGCACCGTACAAGACATGTGAGCTCTCCCTCCGTCGGCTGGAGGTTGACATTTCAGGTTGCTCCACCTTTAACGGCCCTTGTCCAACTGGGAACAAAATAGGGAAATTCCCATAAACACCTAACACAGAAAAAGAAAACAATAAAGAATCTCTTTCATCTCTCATCTATGTTGGAATAATGGAGGAGCAACTCAGAAGCCCAGAGGGATAAAATTATGAATATTTCCAGCACTGTCCTCCAATCTTCCAGACCGTGTCACCAAGGAGAAGGCAGGAAAGTGAGGACCCTGGTCTTCGGAGGGGCCAGGTCAGTGAGAGGAGGGTGAGGTGTGACGTGGTGTAAGAGGAGGAAGTGGGGGGTTAGGTGGTCCTAGGGGGCCCTTCAGGACCTGCTACAGACCTGAGCATATTTGGCAGTTCTGTTGACCCACTGGTGGTCCACTGATGGGGAATAGGGTTCACCATCTGGATAGGAATGTGTCTGTGAGGCAAATGGAGGCAGTTCTGGAGTTGACCTAATAATTTCAAACTTTCCTCTTGCCTCCTTAATTTTCACACACAGAAACATTACTCCAGTGATGTGAGGATATGGCTTTTGAGTCAAAAAATTACAATTAGTTCCGTTACTAATTTCTTTGGATTCGCAGTCAGGAATATGAAACATGGACAATATTTTACACTATAAATAAAAGGCACACCAAAGTTTCAAATTGACATTGTTCATACCTCATTTTAAAAGCCATACACATTTTGCTTTGAAATACAATGGGGCATTTTGTTTTATGATTATTTGGGAAATCACTGTACAGATTATAACACAGAGAAATCAAATTTCACTTGAAATCTGGGTGCCCTTCAAAAAGAGCTGGGATTGAAATTGCTTAAAGGAATATCAGATAATCCATGGGAATGGGACCAGCGACCACTAGACTTGCTCCGTGGAAATGTCTCTTGAACACTATGTCACAGAGAGGGTTATTTTTAATTAGTGTTCATTTTTACATGTAACAATTAGCCTTTAAAATTAGTATTAAGTCTAATGTGTATTGAGGACGTGCTGGCACTGTTCTAAGTGTTTTCCTGCCTTCTTTCACTTACACTTCTCAATCTTGAGAGTAAGTGGTTCTATTGTCTCCCTTCAGCAGACGAGAACATGGGGCAAAGGAGACTGATCCCAAGCCACAAAGCTGGTAGATGTGGGAGCTTGGATAAGTAACAGATGCTCCTTGAAGAAAATCTGAGTAAAGGTGTTATGAAGTGACACAATAAAACGCAACATCATTTACTTTTAAATGGTATTGCCACACATTTATACATAGGAGCATGTTTGCTTAGATCAATACACACACAGTTCTTTTAATTTTAAATGGGCTTTACACACACAGTTTCTTATTCTGTTCTTTTAGCTAAATTTATATTTTTGAAAATATCTCAGGTCCCTAAAAAAGTTTACATGAATTTCATTATCAATGAACTTTTAAGATAACCATCCTCCTATACTACATACCTACCCCTTCTGAGGTTGGCTGAGTTATATAATCTCTGTGTCTCAGTTTCTACATCTATAACTGCTTAAATCAATATCTTTCATAGCCTTGAGGAAGTTACACTATCCCACTTAAAATAATAATGAAAATAATGTAGGAGTAATAGTGCTTGACACAAAATAAGCCCTTTACGATGTTTTCGATTTATACTGTTATTATCATTGAAAAACAAGTGGAAATTATCTTGTTAAATAATATTTAATTTGTAAAAATTTATGTAGTCCATTTTTTGAAAATTTAGAAAATCATTAAAAGTATAAACAAGAAAATAACCTATCCACTCTATCAGAAGAAAAATTATCATAAAACTCAAATATTTCCTTTTATTTTGTTTCTCTACCAACGTATACATTTATATATTTGAGATTTAATATATACTCATTCATACTTTATGTGACTTTTCAATATTTGAATGTAAACTTTTTCACTTTTGTTAATAAATCTTCAAAACTGTCATTTTAATAGATTCATAATATTCTATCATTTGAGTGCAACATAAATTTGCTTTTTTTTCCCTTTGTTCATCATTGAATTTGTCACTAATTTTTTAGGAGTCATGTGGAAAAGCTGACATCACTTTCGTCTCCTGAGTTCTGTTCCTCTGAAGACACTATATCACCAGGTCCACTGATCTTCCGTACAGTATACGAGAAAATCTAGACAAACAATTCAGCAAAGATATTTTGACAAGCTTAATGCACACTTTCCATGCATTCCTTCTGGAAAAGGCTCCTCTTCTCACAATTGATGTGTTCCACTCAGGTTCTGGTCTCTAATTTGCTTGCATAAAAAATATAGGAGACTAGGAAGGTTGTGTTTCGCCTCGAAAAGACAATTATCCCCCAACTAAGAAACCATCATGGTCATAAAGAGTGTAAGACAGGATGTAAATCAAAGAAATATGAGCCGCCAGAGGTGGGAGAAGAAGGGCTGAAGGATCATGTGTCTAATTCCATCTCGTGTGTCAGCATGGCCTAGAAATGCCTCCTTTTTTCTGCTAATACATCTCACATTTGAACAATAGAATATGGACCCTTGAAATATGGGCTAGAGAGCATAAATATGTGGTGTTATTTGGAGAATTTTTAATTAAGGTGTACACTACATATAGGAAACTTGCAAGGAGATATCTATATTCCTACCAAAACCCCACTGAGATACCACTGTTAGAAATAGAAAACAAGGACCTTACTATTGTTTTATATTGAAAAGTCAGTGACAATTTAGTGGCATTTTATTTATTCTGTGAAGGCGCCCAAACATTCAAATCCTGGGCATGTGCTCCAGCACGTAATAATAATTTTTATCAGTTAATGCTCCATAATGGTTAGTTTTCTCTCCTCTGTGGAGAGGGGAACAGGGTATTGTTTCTCTTATTGTCCTGCAGTAAAGAAGTGGTTAGTGTGAGAGGCAAGAAGAGCCAGATTATCTAGGTCCCTACCCTACTCTCCCAAATAGCCACCTACCAGCTGTGTGACTTGACAAGTGACTGAATCACTTGGTACTCACTTACCTCGTGAGTCAAATATGATTGATGACAATGGAACAGACCTTGTAGGTAGTGAGGGCTAAAGGGGCTGATATAGTCAAGGAATTGAGACCATGGATAGAGGACTTGCACACACAGTGCTAGTTCTTCTGGTCTTGGGAGAGTCTTTCTCCTCTTTCACGGGCAGATCAAGAGTCGCGCAATATTGTGGGCTCATCTAAGGGTCTTAATGAATTTGAGCTCTGTTCTGATGACATTATATGGGCATAATCCTTCTCACCACACCTCCCTGAAAAAGGGCTTTGCTGCATCCCTAATTTACCCAGACACCGTAGTGTTCACCTACAGAACTGCAATCCTTAAACTATTCAGTATGCTCTCACAGTCCAGTTCAAAAAGCACGGACTTCTTGTCTAAGCCTCAATTCTCTAAGCTTTAATTTCTTTAGTTGTAAAATGGACCAATAATAGTTATATTGCAGAGAGATTGTCTCGTGAATATATGCTAATAATGGCTCATGGGGATTCCCTCTCTCAGTCTGAACCTTGCCACTTACGGAGAGTCTCTGGGTGGTGAGATGATGGACAGTGGCACAGCCGTCTTGCTCTCAGTCCCCAGACAGGACTTTAATTTGTTGGGAAATAGTGTTAAATAAAGCTTTGGAGGCACAATTCCTGGGGTCAGCTGGAAGCTAATGAGCAAGCCTAATCCAAATGGCTTCCTGGAAAGCTCCGGAAGTGCTGCAGAGAAGGAGCGGCTGAGGCCAGGAGCCCAGCTGGGCCTGGTTGTGGTTGCCACAGTTGGGAAGGATGTGGTTGGGCACAGACCCAAGGAGGGGATCTTGTGTGGGTTTTCTCAACAGATCTAGTACTGTGGTGCCCATCCTGCACAGTAGTAAATGGCCACATCTTCTTTTTCTATGAAATTTACCGTAAGGATTGCAGTGGAAGTTTGAGAATCCTTCCTTGCTTCAAGTTTATTTTTCTTCCCACCTAGGTTAGCTCGAGCTGGGGATTTTGTCGAGCTCACAGTAATCACATACTCCAAAGCCTCATTAGGTTTCTGCCGGTACCAGTGAATGTATTCCCCTTCAAAGTCTGAGCTCGTTATCTTGCAATATATGTCAATACTTTTCTTTACTTCTGTGGAAATGGATATCTGGGACTGCTCCACTTTTGTTAACCCAAGTCCAACTGTAAGCAGAAGAAGAGAATTTCCAGTGAACTTCTGACAATATAAGAAACGTTAAAGAATTTCTTTGCTCACTCACGTAGACTGCAATGGTCAGGGAATGTGACTCACCAGCCCAGAAGGACAAGAAGGTGAATGTTTCCAGCAGTGACATCCTGTCTGCCAGGCTGTGTCCTCAAGGAGAAGGCAGGAAAGTGGGGACCTGGTGACTGGATGCCTCAGGTCAGTGGCAAGTGGGCGTGGCCTGAACTGGGGAGGGGGAAGGAAGTGGTGGGTCAGGTGGGACCTTGGCCTTTAGTGCTGGCTGCAGGCCTGAGGTTACTGATTTCTGTGGGCCTCATGCCCTGCTGATCTCAGGAATGGGCTGATGGTCTCCTTAGGGCTCTTAGGGTGAAGGTGAGATGGCCATGGAGGTGGATTTATTGCTGTGGAAATGGAAAGGGTTTCTACTTGTCTAAGAGCTATTTTTATGAGCACTTTTTCTCAGCATATTTTAAAACATCACTTGTTTAATAAATATTAACTTTTATAATCTCAAACATTTAATGAGCATTTTCTATCTGTTAGGCTGTTTTTCTAAAAGAAAATGTTTTTTACTTTTTTAATCTTCAAAGCAATCATATGATAGGAATATTTGTAGTTTTCATTTTATAGATCAGGAAAATAAGGTACAGAGGAGTGATGTCACTCAATGAAAGTCACATAGGTTATAGGTGGGGGATACTGGTAAAGTTACTCATTGAAGAAACTCAGAGAAACAGGATAAAGATGAAAATAAATATACCCATGATCATGTCACCAAGACCCACAACTATTATCATTATGATATTTTAACTTCTAGATCTCTTCTTTGTATATATATGGATATTAATATGATTCTGTTGACTGTAAATATATTTATAAATTACATGAGCAATACGTATAGAATTTTGTATTATTCTTCTTTCAGTTCATACTATATTCTGAGAAATTTCCCACATCTTTGAAGCATTTTTTTAATGCTGCTATTCCCTATTCATCTCTATCACTTAGAAGCTGCCCAACTCTGTGCAAATTTATTAATCTTTGTGCCTCAAATCCTTCATCTGAAAATGGATGCAATAATTATACCCATCTCAAAAGTTTGTGAAGATTAAGTCACCTGAAGTATCTAGTATACTCTCTAGCATATAACAAATTTTCAGTAATTGTTAGATATTATCACTGCTAACAACATTTTTTTAATTTAACTTCCCCATGCTGTCAACCATTTCATGTTTCCCCAGCTTTCATTGTTAAATGCTTTGGTGACCATTTGGAATTAGAAACCTTAGAAAGCAGTCAAATATTATTAGCATTTCCTTTTTCCACATTTAGAGAATTTTTTACCTATTTTTCTTTTTACCTTCCTTCAGCTAAGTTTCTTCACTTGCCTTTTATGATTTCCATATGGTTTTCTCTGGAAAAACTTGTGTGTGTTAGAGCTCCTTTAAGCCTTGGCAGGGCTCTTCCCCGAAACTTATGTCCAGCTCTGTCACATATCGTGTGGGATCAATGTGAACACAGACTGGCTTGGGTTCTCCTGAGGAGAAAAGAGAGGAAGAAGCTGACTCGGTGGCTGGGTTCTTCCCAGAGGCAGCTGCCCTATTTTCCCTCTTTTCCAACAAACACCATTTCTGAGGTGATCAACACTGAGAATCGAGGAGCAGAGGGCAGTGACCCTGAAACTAGAAGAACCAGAACTTCCTCTGCACAGGGGCAGCAGAAGGAGGAGGGGACGGGTACTGACGCTCACCCTGGGTCAATGCTTCTGAGCAGGTGTTTTAATAGACGAAATGTTTATCAGATGCTCCAGAGCCTGGTTCATTTTGTTGGCATCGATGTATGACTAAGGTAACACATGCAATGTTGAGTACTGTACATGAATATATTTACCCTTTTTTCTACCGTCAACAGATATTTCTAGTAGTACCATTTTGACTGTTAACTAGAAAGAGAGAGAGAGAATAAAACAGATTTTTCTCTGAAATACTCAGAGGCAGCATTAAATAATTTGTTTAGGTTCTCACCTAATCTGAACAGAAGGACGGACAAACTCACTAGCCCAGAGGAAATGGCAGATGATTGCTTGTAACTGGACATCTTGTCTACCCAGGCTTTGCCTCCAAGGATGAGGTAGAGAATTCAGGATGCTGGTGGCCAGAAGCCTCAGGTCAGTGACATGTGTGTGTCTGTTGGTTTCAGGGAAGGAAATAAGTGGGTCAAACAGGAGTCACCATCCATGACATTTCTGGGGTGCATGGTTTATCTGGAGAACATTTGTCAGCTTGCACAACAACAAAACCGCAAGTTCATTTCCAGATATTTGGATAAATAGACAGACAGGTAGAAATAGATATAGTGACGGAGATGGAGATGGCAATGGAGATGTGGAGGGAGACAGAGAGAGACACAGAGATAGAGATAGGTGTATCTAGTGGAGAGAGCAATATTGGCAATGTCCTTGAAGGAAGGCTTTTCTTGACTAATTGTCCCAATTATTTCATACAAGGGGATAAAGACAAAAGTGAAATTTAATTACAGGTACTAATAATTAATCTCACTGAGTCCTTACTCTATTCGAGTCTTGATGCTAAGCATTTTTGAATCATCATCTCATAATTCTCACAACAGTCACTGGAGTGGGTCTCACATTGCTGGAGACGCTCAAGTCCACTCCTGTCCTCTGACTCCAGAGTTTGGCCTCCTTGATTTTGTGGTCTATGGAATGGCCTTTTTTCCCCCATATACATGTCATGATTGTCAGTTTCTCTCAAGACTCTGGATTTTAAAGTCTAATTACTGGATTCAAACAATACTATTTTTCTTGGTTCTTTGATTATTCTCTATATCTAGACTAGTTCTGTCTTTCTTTAGGGCCAAGAAGCTTCATGGATTCAATTTACTTAAAACCCTGTATCTTGTCTACATAACTGTATGTACTTATTACCTCCTAAATATGGCTTCACATAGCACATAAGATGCCTTTTTACTGATTAAAAAAGACACACCTCAAGGCAGAATACTTAGAAAAAGGCACTCTTTCTCTAGGCTGCCACAGCCCTGCTCCCGAGCGTAGAAGGCAGTAGGCAAGGGATGGGATTTTTGTCCCCACTGGTGCCCCCTCACCCAGGCACCCTTGAGCAGGGCACGTGGTAGAACGTACACACGCTACAACTCAGTGTGTGTTGCAGGGGAGTGTCGTGACTATATGTAAATGATATATCTCATCTCTTCCTCATTCTGACATTGGAAGGAGGCGCTAAACTTACAGATTTAAAATGGTTTCTTCCAATTTGGAACCGTCTCTTTCTGGCTAGCTCAGTCTCTTTGATACAACCTTCATCTTTTCTGTTCCTCTCTTCCTCCTCTCATCCCCAGATGACGTCACTACACATGGGAGGAGGGTTAGTTCTTGTGGTCTCCCTCTGCCACCCTCTGGGTCCTCACTGACTTCCAGCCCTTTACCCTGCTGGTCTCTGAGATTTGGCCTCTTCCTCTGAATTGGCTGGTGCAATAACCAGACCTGAACCACCACCAGTGACACCATGCCTTGGGATATGAAGTTCCCACCCTTCAGCTTCTCATCCCCATCCTGTGTCCACTGCGTGCACTGGTCGCCTCAGCATCTCTCACCTTCTTAGAGACCCTGAGAGGCCTTTGCATCTCCTACATGTGAAGCCTGTGGGGAAAATCAGAGCTGACTCAGGCTCATCTTTGCAAATACCTTCCATTGTTCTACCATGGCGATATTGGGGAAAACCGATATCAGCCAGATGTTCGCAGATTCTCCCTCCATTTGTTTTTGGTTTCTGTTGAAGTTTCTAAACTTCTTGATTAAGACCTTCAGAGACAAAGCAACCAGAAGTCCCTTCAGCTGCTGTCTCCCCACCATCTCACAACAAATCGCAGCCAGAAGTGCTACCCCTCACTCTTGGGGTGGATGCTAAATTTGCTGACATCACACCCCTAGTTTTCTGTGTATAGCACCACTAGTAACATTTTTGTTCCTAGTTTGTGAGGCTTTCCTTTTGACCTATACACAGGAAATTTGGAAATTTAGAACATCCCTTCCTTTTTTGGCTAAATTGTCTTTCAAGCCTATGATCACATGATTAAGTCAAAAAGTGAGCTTGTTCTGGGCACAGCCACCGTCTCCTCCCACGGGTGGTAAATCTCATAGTTTGCCTAAGTGGAGGAAGGACTACATTGGACACGACATGTGGAAGAAGAAAAATATGCTGGCTACAAATTTCAAAAGCATTGTGCTCATTGCACATTTTGATAGTCTACTTAAGTCCAGGCCATGAGGTTTCAAGGCCTCCCAGTGGTGTGCCCCACCCATGATATTTCCTGCTAAAGCAAGTTCACAAAACAGAGAAGATAGGCGATTTTCATAGCCTTTCCCCTCCACTAGGGACAAGGCTTTTAGGGCAGATGGTCCAGAAAGAGAACTCTACCAGATGTGTGTCTAAGGTGACCATTACGCCATTCTTGTGTAACTATTCATTTGGTCCTGACCAGGATCTGCAGGGCTGGGCAGCAGGTCTACAAAACCCATCTTTGTCCACAGATGCCAGAGTGTATTCTCATAAAGTTAATAAACACTAAGGGTATTCAAAGTGGCCCAAAAGTATAATTGAAACAACATGGACTTTTTGTTTAGACAGATGACTGGCCCTCTCTAAGCATCAATTCTGTCTTCCATGAAATCAGTTTATTTGCAGAGTTTTGATAATGATCACATGAGCTTCTGAACACATACAATATTTAGCACATTGTTTCACAGTCACATTTATGGGAGCTAAATGCATATGAATTCCAATTTATTCATTGCCAGCACCTTCAGCCGGAGCTTTTGATAATTACTGGAAAACTCTAGGAAATGAAATAATGGATGTTACCTTCTCTCTGAGATAATCAGGCCATTTCAACATAAAAAGTCTTTAAGTAGGGGCCCACAGCAATAGGAAATTATGTCAAACCAGACATTTGGGGGTACAGTTATTGGCATCTGCGGAGGTACCATTGATGGCCATTAGAGTCCCCTTCCTCTTTCCTCTGATACTGAGATCAGCATGAGAAACACAGGAACCACTGAAGGCTGATGCTGAGTTTTAGCCAGGGCTGAGGTCTTGACTCAGGACTGAGCTTGCACTATGTTGGGAAGGATGTGGTCACAGTCATGATAAGGGG